TTGAATTAATTTTCCTTTCCAACTTTCCCCCCTTTAATTTTTACAGTTATCAACTGATTTGAGTTGACTAACAGTTGGAATGAAAATTCAAGCCCAACAGAAAAGTGAAGCCATTCTCAAAATAAACTTGCTTTACCTTGGCCATTAATATCAGATAGAACACTATTTCATCCATTTTTCACATTTCTCGTATTTGTTCACATCTATGTGGGGGATCATCTATCTCTTTTATTCTTTGGGATTATGCACATCAGAAGATTAAAGATGCTTTACAAAGGGTTAAATTTTTCCCAGAAAATCTTTCCTGCAGTGAATGTTGTGTACGTTCTTAAACCCGAGACTCTATTGAAACAGGCAAAATGTGACGTCCTGTCCAATGATTTTTACTGGAAAGCTCTTTCAATCAGAGAGCTGTTTTTTCCCCCTTCCTTTACATCCTTACCTCTTCCATCAGATTAAAAAAAGGGCATTGTTTCCCTCTCTTCTGCTAATTTTTCAGGGTTGTTCAGGGGGACAGAAAAAGATTTGGGATTTATATTTCATTCACTTGGGATATCTGTCTTGTTCTGCAACATTAGCAGATGAAAGCCAATATCAGTCAATCAAGAAGTCAGTTCTGACTCAAGGATGCACAGGGATCCAAAACCATATTGGAACCCAATGGACAGGATTTGGGTAACAAGACAAGGTTTTGTTACCAAGATTTTCTCCAGCACTCATCTGGAAAATTATCAGGCACCATAAAATCTGTCCCATGACAGCTGTTATTCATTTGGATAAATCAGAGGAGCTACACAAAAGTAGCTAAGTAGACATGCTACGTTTAAGAAACTTTTCTTTGTACACAAGCAGTTTCTTTGGCTCTGAATCTCCTGCAGTTTTGAGGTTTCATCATGTTCATCATGTTCCTGAAGTTGTCCAAAACTGTGGTGAAGCAGGACGTTGCTCTTCTATTTCCTTTTCAGTGTGATGACTTCTGGGGAAGGAATGACACACTTTGAGGGGGAGGGGTTTGTTTGTTTTTTTAGCATTTGACAGGCAAATCTCAAATATTTTTCGGGAAGATGGAGAAAGATCTTATGATTAATGATAATGGGGAACATTTATTCATCCCTATTAGTGTTTATTGCCTAAATAGTTTTGAGAATAAGGTTAATGCTGTACCAAAATCCCCTTTAAATTTTCTGAAGTTTTAAAATCCTGCAAAAGAGGATTTTGTTTTCCTACATTTTTCTCAGGGTAGTTGAGAATTTCTTCTGAATTTCTCTTGATATTTTGAGCTTTGTTTATTGTGGCAAGTTGTTGCAGGGGCTTTCAATGGTGCTGAGGTTTTGGTCACACATATTTCCATCACACTGAAGCTTCTTTACCTCCCAGTATTTCCTAGTCTGAAAAAACCCAATAAGACAAGTTTTTTTGGGATTTAGTTGAAACAAGGGAAGCCAGGGATGCTACAGACCACTGGAGAGAGAATTCTAAAAGAGTTCTGTGATTCTGAAAACAAACTAATGTATGAGCAGATAAGAAGTTATTATTTAGAAGCTTGGTACAAATTATTCTGCCTCCCTCTCTGTCATTGTCATGTCATTTTTGTGTCACCACTAACATAATTTGGAATCTTTTAAAATAATGTGCTACAAGCCACTTTGCTTTAAAAATCCTGATTTATTTGGGTGTAAGGCAATCAATGATCTAAAAGGGAGTTACTCTCTTCCAAAACTAAAGACCTAAGCTTTGACAATTTACTGGAATCTACATAGAGAAGCTGTGCTTCCAAAGAAGTGTAAAACTTCCTTCAAAATTAGGCTATCTTCAGACCAAAAAAAAAAAAAAAAAGCCTTTCAGAATATTTTATTGGGGGAAAATCCCATTTGTTATACTACAAAAGTGACAGCATGAGACAAAGGAGAAATCTCTTATTGTGTAAAGAGCTATAGCAACAGCACTGTTTATATTTATGTGATCTGGATAGGGAGCCCAGTCTTATTTACAGATAGAAAAATGCTGATTGTAGAGCTGAATAGTTCTATTTTTCTCCAGCACTGTTATTTTTCCAGACAAATAAGTGTGATGAGGGTGAGTATTTTTGTTCGAAAATATTAAAGTCAAGAGTCTTCATACAATTTCAAATGTAGGCTACAGTTATGTTTGCTGAGAGTCTAACATTAACTAGCAGGGTATGGTGAATGTCAAAATCTTATTACTTTTGCATCCTAGGAAGACAAATAAATGCTATCATTCAAGTTGCTGTTGCCCATGACCTAAAAAGACAGTTTGTGGCAAGTATGGAAAATACTGTTAGCTTCTGCGCTTTGCAAAATTACCCCTTGAATTTTGCATATTGGGAGAATTTGATGCAAAAATAGGAGAAGGGGAGATATTCATCTGATTTGCATGAGTGAAAATGTGCAAAGCCAAAAGCAGATATACTTTGATTGTCACATTTTCCTTAACATTGCAACATGTTTCTTTTGGTGGGAAAACACACATAAAAGTGTTAGCATGCAACAAGACATTGTATGAAACATGTGCACTAGGAAATATGCACATGAATTCGAAGTAGCACAGACAAAGGTGCATACCATATTTATTCTTCCCAACTTAACAGAATGTTGGAAAGAAAGGGGTTGGGAATCTGTCCATTAGCAGGATTTGTTTGTTTGACTTTGATACCACCCAACACCAATTGGCTCTGGGCATTTCACGGCTTAAAAAGAAAACCCCAAAATGCAATCAAAAGAATAAAGCATGTAACAATAAACAATATGGCAAATCCCATCAGCAACAAACACATCATGCACCCAACAAGAGGCTACAACCATCCTAGTCCACAGCTTAGAAGAACCACCAGGTCTTTAAGGCCCTTTGGAATGCCAACAGGGTGGGAGCTACCTAGATCTCTGGGGGAACCTCATTTCAGAGGCAGGGACCATGACAGAGAGGCACACTTCTGGGGTCCTGAGAGATGGCACTGCCTAAGCAAAGGAAACCAGAGTGTTCCAACTGTGTTGGATTGTGAAGCCTTGCTGATACCACAGGAGACAAGCAGTCACTCAAGTAGCCAGGCCTATGCCATATAGGGATTGGTGGTCATAACCAGCACCTTGAATCATGCCCTGAAGCAAACTGTCAGCCAGTGCAGCCTACAAAGCAGGGCTTTTGCATGGGCTTACTGAGGTAGGCCCGCCACTCTCATGCCGTTGTGTCTGGGCCAGTTCTGGGTGGTCTTTAGGGACAGGCCCATGTAAAAAGTGTTGCAGTGATTGAGCTGTGAGGTGACTAGGCTGTGAGTGATGGTCTGAAAGGCCTTCTATTCTAAGAAAGGGTACAACTGGCATACCAGATAAAGCTATGCAAAGGTCTTCCTGGCCACAGCCGTTCAGGAACTGTGAGACCAGGAAGATCTCCAAATCATGCACCACTTTCAAATGGGAAAGTGCTACTCCATCTCTGAAAACTGTTCTGGGGAAGGGAAACTGGCAAAAGAAAGACCAAGTGCAACATTGGGTAGCATACAGCTGGGGCTGTAGAAAAAAAAAATCCTGAAAACAATCTTCAATGGAACCCAATGGGAGAAGCAACCCCATTCTTCCTCCCTTCGACTGAGCTGAGTATATGTAGCCACCCTGTGCTTCCCAGTGCAACTTAAACACAAATATAGATGAAACATGAGGGAAGAGCAATGATACAGAGAGAGAGAGAAATGCAACACATGTGAACCTACCATGATTAAAACTATTCTCTCTCTCACTCTCTCGCTCTCTCGCTCTCTCTCACACACACACACCCACAACATGTAGATGTATGTGCAAACACGAAATGCATTCAATGGCGACTGTTGATAAAAGGGTTGGAAAGAATTCCAGAAACTATACTCTGCATGTTTTCTCTAATTTTCTTTTCAAAGAGAGCCAATGAACTGATATGGAAATGGGGGGGAGTGGGGGAGAAACCTTAGGAAAATCAAAGTTGATTGATATGTCAGCTTTTAGATGAATGTGGATGTCTCTGCATGAATTTTTATATAGGAAAGAAAATGGGAGGAAAAAAAGCGAAGCAACTTCACCTGTTACATACCATTGATCTAGATACACTGCACTCCTACAATACAAGTTTCTGGCCTATCTCTTAAAAATCTGTACTCTGAAAATTGGATTAGCATTTCATTTTTTTTTTTTATTCCGTACCATGCAATTTGTCTAAAGTGGTAATCTTAAGACAAATTAATGATAAGAATATTAATGGCATGGTTATTGAGAAAATCATCAGGAGATCTTTGATGTAACAAATTCAGGAATTCATTCACTGATTATTGGATGTCTCTCAGATTGCCCCTTAAAGGTACATGTTCACCATGACCCACTCTTAGCCACCACATTCATATATGTGGATGGGTGGATGGGTGAACAGACAGACGGTACATGCATGGGATCTCTACTTTGTTATGTTTCATGTATATAAATTCAGTGCCTTGGCGCTAAAGGTCATTTCATACTGTTATTCCCTGTCTTTCAAATTTTCCCCTTTGTGTGTCAAAGAACATGATGGTAGAAAGGCTGAGGGCACAGAAAATATAATACTTTGCAACTTGAAACACTGGCCTTCAATTGCACCAGCTGTTGTGATGACAAATCAAGGTTTAGTTCTCTTGAAAGTTAGACAGTGGATGACTAATAATGTTAAAGCATATTCCATCTTGTTATAATTTAATCCAACACTGTCAGCTTTTGGAAGTATTGGGACATCTTGCCTGGAGAGATAACTAGCAGTTTCTTACTGCTGTCTGTTGCAAATATTATACTCTATCACTGATGACAATATCAGTATTCCCTATTATTTTTAACATCACTGCAACTATCTGGGAACAATTATATTAATATTATTAATGGAGCAGGGATAGCCTGATGTCATTCTAATAAGCTGGCACTGAAAAATACTTTCAGTTTTCGAACAAAAATAGCAAGAAAAGTTACCGCATTGTAAAATAAAACAGCCCTTACCCAGTTTTTGCAAAATTTGCCCAGTACTTCAGCATAGATCTGCTCAGTGCTTCCTCTGTTTTGGTATAATTAACTCTTCGCTCTAGAGGCAGTCCGAATACAAACTCAATTTCATAACCATGTGGAACTCCCATCCATTCTGGCCAAGGAAGTTTTGAAGATCTGTGCTCAAAGAAGTACAAAAAAGCATTGTTCCCTGCCAAGGCAAATTGTTTTATGAACTCTACCACAGGGCATATGAAATTGTAATCCCCAATGATATCATCCATGGCTTCACGATAATTGAAAATATTCTTCTCATCTTCCCAGTCTGCATAGTGAAAAGCAATAGATTCCAATCCAATTTCATTTAATCCTGGAAAAGAAAGTTTCAAACCTGCCTGGAATTCTATTTCATTGATAAGACTGTTGTTATCTTTGCTGAAGCCAGGTGCACCGTACACAAGGAAAGCTGTGCCCTCATCTTGGTTCACTCCTATCAAGATCTGTGTTTGTTTAAAGTGCCCGTTTTTCAGCAATAATGCTGGCATATCGGTGAGAAAATCATCATCAACCACGGGACTAAAATACAAATTTATAAGACTAGTGTAAGTTAAAACAGCTAATCCTTTCTCCAATATATCCTGGGGATCTTTGTGCCGAAGACAAAAAATGATCTCAGTTTCATTTTTGCTAGTACAGTGGAGGAGCTCAGCTAGAACTAGAGTTCTCCTTCTTGCTTCAGATGGTAGAATTGCACCCCAAGGGGCATTTCCAGCTCCACTTTGCATGATTGCCCTAGTGAAGAGAGGATAGCTTTGAGGAGAAAGAATATGGTAGCTAACAGACCCCGCTCCAGCACTTTCTCCAAATAATGTCACACTTTTGGAATTGCCACCAAAGACTTCTATGTTGTCATGGATCCACTGAAGTGCTAGCCTTTGATCAAACAAACCCACATTTCCTGGGGCTTCTTCATTTCCTGGCAAAGCCAAGAATCCCAAAGGCCCTAATCTATAATTCATTGAAACAACAATGACTCTTTCCACACGGGCTAGAAACTTGCCTTCATAAACAGATAATGAGGATGTCCCAGTTTGGAAGCCACCCCCATAGATCCATACCATGACTGTTGCATTTTTAGGCTTGGGAGACGGAACCCATACATTGAGATAAAGGCAGTCTTCACTAAGCCTTGTGTTTGGATTCCACATCTCTGACCCTGCAAAGCCAGGGAAAGTATTATCTAGGAGCTGAAAACAGGAGTTGGCATACTTGGTGGCATCCCAGGTTCCTTTCCATTCTTCTCGAGGTTGTGGCTTTTTGAAACGCAGTCTACCAATAGGCGGTGTTGCAAAAGGGATCCCAAGAAATGCAGTTACTGTTCCACCAAGCACAGGTAACTGGACGCCTTTGACCATTCCATTCTTAGTAGCAATGATGGTGTCATCCCCGGTAGGGAACGCCTTCTTGATGAACATATAGAACAGAAGAAACCACATGAGGATTTTTGTGTGGCTGCCCATTCCACTGGTGTGCATCATGAACTCTGAAATAAAAGAAAAAGAAAGAGTTTAAGCAGAACTTTCAGATGCAGAAATGCAGTGAAGTACTGCATTGGGGAGCTGTGTTGTACAACCTCAAGAGACTGACAACATGGCAGCTGCACTCAAAGAAAATGCATCTCAAAGACAGTCCAGTTGGGAAACTGTCCCAACATCATTATTTACAAAGTACTGTATAACCAAACAGAAGTGGAGAAACGTTAATATGATCGCCACCAACACCACCACTTCAATTTGGCTAAACTGAACACTGCCACTTTCACTGATGGTCAGCCAGCAGCCAGCCGCCAGAGTCTAACTGTGAATATGCATCTTCACTGAAATGCACTTTTGTCACACAGACTCACTCACAAGCCCAGTTCCTCCCTGTGTTGGAGGCGGAAATCGTTTGTTTATTTGTTGTGAACAAAGGGTACCAGGGCTATGAAAATGATCTAAGAAAGATCGTTCCTGAGGTGCTTATAAAGGTTGGAATCTAATAAAACCTGGAAAATCTAGGGGAAGCAAGTATTGAAGCAAGTCTGCTTCAGTGATCCACTTATTTCTAAGGAGTAGCTAACAAGTCTGAGCTACAAATATTATGTAATATGACTTTTATTTGGGAATGTGTATAGCTAGTTATAATTTCACATGCTAGCAAAATAATGCTTGGGATTATCCAACACAGATTAGAGCCCTGCATGGAAAAGGAGACACCAGATGTTTAAGATGGCTTTAGAAAAGGCCAAGGAACATGAGACATTATTGCTGATGCATACTGGATAATTGAGAAAGCCATGGAATACCAAAAAGAAGTCAGTATGCGCTTCATTGATTATAAAAGGTTTTCAAACATGTCAACCATGTCAATGTATGGAAGATACAGCTTAGAAAAATGGGAATCCCAGAATGCATCCTGCAAATCTATATATACTACAGGCAGATCATGGCAAAACCGACTGGCTCCAGGCTGGCAAAGGAATGCAACAAGTCTGTATATTCTCCCTTTATTTATTCAACATATACACTGAATGTATATTAAGGGAATCTGGATTGGAAGAAGATGAATGTGGTTTTAAAACTGGAGGGAGAATATTTCTTTGTGGCATTTATCTGTACTGTAATGAGGCCAAGGACTATCTATGAACAACTTGTTTTATATTTTGCCCCTTTCTCTGGTACTGTACAACTGGTTTGCCATACATCAATGAAGGAATGTAATCCTTGGGGCAACATCCATAAGTTAAACTTTAAAATAATACAGAAATTTAAAGTAAAGTATTCTAAGAATGGCGGACAGAAGTTGGCATTGTATTACATTCCTCTTCATCTGCTGTGGTAACCAAATCTCTGGACATGAGGCAAGGGATAAAAGCAGGCTTGGATTAAAGAGGATAAGTGTACAGAAGTGTGTTTTTTGTTTTGTTTTTTGCTTTCTACTTGCTATCAAGACATTTTTCCACATCATACTGGCTTGGAGATAGCAAGCCAACTAGGTTATGACAGCAACCTCAGGCAAGTTCTGGGGAAGGTGTTGGAAATGATGTTCCCCGCATTCCCTTCCAAACCTTACTTTCTACGATTCTGCGCTTCATACTAGTCACATAAGAATAGTCAATAAACTAACTGAAGTCTTTCATACATGTATTAGAGGAGCCTCTTACATAGCTGCAAATGCAGATGAATGAAGATTGATCTGGAGATAAGTAGCAACATAGCTTAGTTCTATGTATTGTCGAAGGCTTTCACGGCCGGCATACGATGGCTGGTGTGGGTCTTCCGGGCTGTGTGGCCGTGTTCTGGAAGTTTTATTTCCTAACGTTTTGCCAGCATCTGTGACCGGCATCTTCGGAGGGCAGGTCTGTCTGTGCTCCTGCTCTCTGAAGATGCCGGTCACAGATGCTGGCGAAACGTTAGGAAACAAAACTTCCAGAACACGGCCACACAGCCTGGAAGACCCACACCAGCCATAGCTTAGTTCTTCTAAATGGTACTTCCAAACTCACTGGTGAATGGCAAAGGAAGGATGAAATCCCTAGGTGTGAAAGTCAGTTAATTATGTGATTTGCATCTAGAGTTCTGCAAATGAGCAAATCTGACTACTGAAGACTAGGGTTTATTAGATTTGATTTAATCGATTCAGAAATGGTTGGAGATGTCCATTGAAAGGAGTTAATTGAATGATATAAAAGCTCCCTTTCAAGCTTATCAATTAAAAAAAAAGATTTTTAAACTTTTTTTTTTTTTTTAATAAATGGGTCTTAATTTTATATGAACATAAAAGTTGCAGTTAAGTCAGAAAACAGCCATAAATTGGAAATAATGCACGATTGGCACAGGAGAACTTTGTTCAAACAGGTGATCTTAGAAAAGCTGAAATCATTTGTTTTAATGCACGATGGACATTTTATGAAGTCAATGTTAGACAGAACAAAACAGAACAGAACAGAACAGATAGAAAAATAAGGACCTTTTAAGACAGACTGTATTTTCATACTAAATTGTTTTGCTAGAAATGGTTATCCCTTTTTGTGTATTTTTGTGTAAATGTAGATATGCATGTGTGGATGTGTAACCCCTATTGACTGTGTTTTGTAATGTATCTAATTTATCCATACTTTGGGAGTCAATGCTTTAATAATAGTTAGAAAGTCATATTTTTATGTTCTTAGTAAAAACATAGGAAAAAGACTCCATAATAATATGCAGTGACGTTGACATTTTGAGTAATTTCTTCTTGAAAGATATGGGAAAGGCAAAAAAAAAAAGTATTCTAGGTCCTCATTACTGTCATTTTAAACAATCTGTTCTCCAGTCATCTGAGCAATGCTTCTATCCTTAAAAGGAGCAGAGTTAATTTCTGTAGAAAATACAGCTGCGCAATTCTTGAAGGGCTGTTTTGCTTGTTGCCTGCTAAGATTCTGAAAGCTAAGAGTAGAAAATAGGAACATTTTTGCTTGAAGTGCTTCCTAAGTATGTGACAGCATCAAAGGAACTGAAGGACAGAGGAGGATTAGCAGAGACAATATTGCACTGATTCAGTTGAATGCAAGAGCAAATAAAAAGCCATATGATACAGGCCAAGTATTGAGGAAGGGACTGAAAGGAAAAGTAAACTTTATGTAAAGCCACTTGGGGCTTTCCATAAAGAAGTATGGAGCATTATCTTTAATCTTTACGCATTGAAGATCTTACAGGAACAACATGTGCATGCTTTGTATGCTGTTCAGGTTTGGGCATAATAAAACTGCTCTAGGGAATATCTGGAATATATAAATGTGATTTTGAATGGACTCGATCCTCAAACTTGATTTCAGGATGAGAAGCATGGACCACCTCTTTCCAGGGAGCAAGACAACAGAAGTGACAGACTTTCTGCACTGTTCCTAATTTCTCTAGGGTTTGACCAGGCCAAATAACTGCTCACCCAAAGGATAAAGGAGATGATAAGAGGTTGCTCTAAATATGGCAGAAATTGGATAAACAAGGCATTTGGGAACCAGCAAAATGTCTACAGAATCTAACTTTCCCTGGGGTGAGGATAATGTTTTTCAAAATTAGATATAATATCTTACCATCTGCATTGCTATAAGGGAGATACTCAAGGCCCCATCAACCACGTTTAGCTGCCATGTGGTGAGAAGGAGATTGAGTCCATTTCTCATGTATAATTACACTGTAAATTTTACAGGAATATTAGGTCTACTTATATTCGGCCTCTAATACATAAATTCCCAGGAAGGCCAGACAACTTCTATGTGAATCAACTTCTAGAAGATTTGAAACCCTTCATTATTTGCTCAGTAACCAATTTTTGTGATGCTGCAATGAAGATAAGGCATAACTGGTCCCAGGAACAGCCACTTCTGATTTATGCTCTACTTCAGATTTAATATGCAGATTCTGCAATCATCCTACTTATTTTGTTTTAAGTGATGTACATTTTTACTCCATCTACCGTAGTCTTTTAGACATATACTTGCACAGTTTATTAATACACATTATTGTATTCGCCTATTTTATTATAGAATTTCCTTGCTATGATTGTATTTTATCTCATCTATTTGATTTGACTTTTCTGTTGTATATTTTGTAAATTGTTCAGCAGTAACTGAATAAATGTTACTACTTCTACGAAATGTTTTTCCAATGGAAATAGAGTCAAACATCACAAGGATGCCAGATAAAAATATGGTACCCAAAGCTCTTTTCTCATTACTGGATGCAAAGGCATTTTGTTTTTCTTCTATCATGCTATCCTTTAATAAGTGTGAGAGTGACACATGTCCAATCATGAGGGAATTCTCATGTCTGGAAATTTGTTTAATGATTTGTATCTTCAGCTATGCAAAAGCAACAGCTCTGACTAATGAAGGCTAGGGTTCATTTCCAAGGCTGGGAAAGGAGACTTCAATGTGCATATATTGATTCTTAATAGTCTATCCTGCCTTTTCCATTTCAAACAATATGTGTAAGGCATCTCAAATAACCCTGACAAATACACCATCATTTTTTAAAATAAATCTGACCCTAGTTCAGTGGTAAAGCACATTTCAAGGTTCGGTTTCTGGTCCCAAGTATCATGCAGCAGATACTGAGAAGAAATATTATCTGAGGCCCTACAAAGTTGCTACTGTTGATCACACAGTTGGACAAAGAGCCTGAACTGATATAAGATGGTTTCTTGTGTTTTTTATCATAAGGAGGAGGAGGGGAGCTGATTAAAGCAAAACACACCCAGATTCCATTCTCCAGATAATTCTTGCATTTTCAATTCAGCAAGTCCAGAGAAAGGCTATGATGACTTTCATTAGCCAGGGAACTCCAAGTCCCCATTAAGTAGAGAGTAAGGAAGATGACCTTGATGGAAATGCTTAGGTAAGAATCATTACCTAAGCAAAAGAGGCTAAAACATTTTTAAAGTCCTGAACCATGATCAGATAACATTGGGAAGAGACTTGGGCAGACAGCTCACTAATTCACTAGAATATAAAAAAGAAGAGGAAGTACAGTATAATTAGACTTGCAAGATTCTGTCATTATAGCCAGTCTCAATAAAAGTAGTCTTAGCCTTCATGTGAGTTGATTCCTGGTCTGGTCTACTGAGTGGGGCTGACAATCAGTATGGAGTGGCAAGCTTAAGAGCAGATGTAACTGTTCAAGATTAAATATGAAAGCTTTTGTTGAGGCCCTATTTTATATTTGCTGGTCACTGCATTACCAATCAAATTTCAGTATTTTTCTTTTATATGTACACTTTTAAACATATCCCCTTTTAATTATACCTAACCATATATATTCAGTGGGAAGAGCTACTGGGGAATAAACCTGTCACATCTAAAGCATGACAAAGAAGGGGTTCCTTTTTCTGATCTAAGATGCACGTCTGTTAAATAGGACAATGATGCTTCATTCATTTCCCAGTCTTTGATTGCGGAGATGAGAGTGGCAACCTTAAAGCATTCATTTGGAGAACTGCTAAGCACTTAGATAACAATAAAAATGGGGGGAAATCATACATTACCAGGAAGGAAGGAAGGAAGGAAGGAAGGAAGGAAGGAAGGAAGGAAGGAAGGAAGGAAGGAAGGAAGGAAGGAAGGAAGGAAGGAAGGAAGGAAGATGTAACTTCCTTACTTAAAAAAATTACAACACAGTCTTATTTGTCTCTACTCATAGGTAAATCTCTGTGTTTTGATGGTAATTATTCTTAGAGAAGAAGTAGAGAGGTGCTGCACATAATGGAAAACATGGCCCCGAAATATCAAGGCTATATACTTCTCTCAATATTAAACACTTAAGGGCTTGATTGGGTTCAGTGTTATAGTAAACTACACAAGCATGTAGTTGAAAGATATTGATCTGAGTTGTAAATGCTTAGATTTACCAAAAGTGTAATCCATTCTTTTTCTCATAAGAAAATCTAGAAAGGAAAAAGATGAGATGATCATGGATATGACTACTTGGAAGCAAGTACCACTAAGTGTAATGGCAGTTACTGCCAGGTAAACGTGCATTGGATTGAAACCTAAACTACATATTTAATTACAAACTGCTTTGTAGTATAAGTCACGAATCAAAATTAATATCTATTTAACTTACTTAAGTGGGTGAGGGGAAAATTGTTGAAACACTGTTCTGCATCTTTTCTGCATTATACCATATTTAAATCCCACAAAATTGAATGGGCTTATTTACAAGTAAGTGTGTGGAGTACAGAATCTGGCTTTCATGTGTTTTTTTAAAAAAACAACTACCATTCACAGAAAAGTTACACATTCAGTAAGTACAGCTATTTTCAACATCTAGAGAGTACTCCCAAATTAGTACCCCAAATTCAGTAAGTACAGCGTTCTTAGAGAACGCCTGCTGTTTAGTTGCATTTACAAGCAAAATATTTACAAACAAAATATTCAGAGCCCTGTGCTTGGATGAAGGAATCAGCACTGAAAAGAAAAAGAAAGAAAAAGAAAAAGAATTGCATGTGAAGTCCTTCTTCCTTGGTTTATAAAGATAGTTGCAAATTAGAAAAAGAAAGAAAACCTATCCAAATGTTCATTGGTCTCTAGCTATATCTGAAATGGTGCTCAAACAAAATGGTACATTTCATAGACTGTAATTCTATTAATATGAACACAAGTACATATAGCAATGTGCTGGCTGGCAGCCAATGTCAGCTATCAACTACATATCCTGCAACCTGTCATAATGCTGCACATACCAAATGGTCTATGTAACAATTTTTGAACTATTTTAATTTCCCATCAGATTAGCAGTTCAGGTGAAACCATATCCCAAGTCCACATATTTGCATCTTAGCATATAGTTGTCCTGAAGTTAAAGTTATGTATATTTCTCTCTCTCTCCCCCTCTCTCTCTCTCAGCAGCTATCAATAGTTGTAGTTAAATTGACTCATACTAACCCAAAGAATTTCAAAGCAAATCTATCTCATTCTCATAAGATTAAAAGCGCTTAGAAGGTTTCTTTCAGATGGCATCCAGATTGAGATACAGGTTTAGATATATTTATTTTTAAAGATTTGTTTCCATTTAGCCTTACTCCAAGGAAGTTAAGCAGAATGTATTTCAATATATTTAATTCAGTGAAACAATACAAATGGATTTCGGTGATGGTTTCCTCTCCTTGTAAATCTCCAGTCAACCAAGAAATCTATACAAAAGGCAATGTAACATTAATTTAAATTCAGAAGATGGTTGGATTAATAAATGATTTTTTTAAAAAAAGTTCAGTTTAAACCCATTGAATAATACTATCATTCAATACACCTGCCTGCTTACTTGTTCCATCGTTTCCATTTTCAGAATAAACTTTGCATTCCCAGCAGAGCAACAAATGGACAGAATGTAGCATTTTAGTAGAGTGCAATTCTATACATATCAAGCTTAACTATAACTTATGCTGATAGAGATCAACGTAAATAGAGAATCTCTTACCCCAATTCGTATTATACAGAAGCCAATTTTAAAAAAAAAAAAAAGCAAAGCTCTTTAATACTTCAGGAAACTGCAGTGTTCAGCTGCTTCTATAAAGCTTCCAAATTGGACTGCTGACATTATAATCAACTGTTTAGGACAGTGCTCGCGAGACTTGGCAACAGCAATTTGATCTGAAGGCAGGCGGTCTTTACATCTGACATCTGTTCAAAATAGCTGAAAGACTTGAGAGTTAGCACAAGTAGGGGATTTGAGCATTCAAACTTCTTTGATTTCTTAGAAAAGGGGAAATGAAAAAGCTTTTAGTTTGAAAAAGCTACCCCCCCTTTTTTTTTTCTGTATAAGAAAATAGTCCAAGGAAAGATGACTGTACTTCCCCACATGTTTACTTTTGTTCTGTTCCATTCACAGATAAGAATAAAGGAACTATCGCATTATGTTCTTGGACTTCAGAAAATGTGATGGGTCCTAAACAGACATCACATTTTATGTATTTTCTATTTTATTTTGCTTTTGCTTTTGTTTTTGCTTCTGCTTTGCTTTGCTTTGCTTTTTTTTTTTTTTTTTAAGAAGAAAACAGGGGAGAAAACAGAAGAGAAATATTCAAGGAGAAAAATAAGTGTATTAAGAGAAGGGGGAGGGAGGGAGGGAGGGAGGAAGGAAGGAAGGAAGGAAGGAAGGAAGGAAGGAAGG